GAATATTGATTCTCTTTAAGTTACATATATTGCAAATGTCTTACCCTGTCTATAGCTTGTCAATTTACTTTGTTTATTGTGTCTTTTGATCCACAAAAGTTTTTTCTTTTAATATGGGTAGAATTTATCAACCTTTGGGTTTACATTTTGGGCTTTTTATATCTTAAAAATATCTTTCCCTATCTTTAAATCATAATTTCCTGCTTTTCATACTAAAAGTCCTCTAACTTACTTGGATTTGATCTCTGTATGCTGTGAAGTAATAATCCAAAATTTTGACACAGAGGTAACCAAACGTCACAGTAGTATTTATTTAATGGTCTCTCTTTTCCTTATTTATATCCTGTTTGAACGCGTAACTGGGTAAATTTTATAATTTTTTCTTTACTTGTCCATCTTCCTCTTTACTTAAAAACCTATTGGGGAGATGGACCATCCTATTTGCCTTTGTGTCCCTGGCCTTAATACATAGTACTTATTAATATTAATTGGATAATGAGGAGATACAAGCAAAAGGGAAAGAGGCAGCAGCACATACAAATCATGTCATAGAGTGGAATACAGTGTCAAAAGAAAAGGTTGCAAAGGCAGGCAAAGTTTGACCATAAGAAGCAGTTTATTTTGTAAATAATAGGAAACAAATAAGAACTTTAAGCAAAGAAATGGCATAGGAAGAAATGTGTTTCCTAAAGATTGGCAAAATTTAAAACCTGACAAAAGCCAAGTATTATGACAATATATACCAACACATACCTACTCTGCTGGAGGAGAGACAATAAACTATTATAACGCTTAGGAGGCCAACTTAATAATACTTTATAAAGCTGAGGATATGTACATTACACAGCCTAGCAATTCCACTCCTAGTATTTACCTCCAAGAAACTCATACATATGCATGAGGAAACAGTATTAGGATGTTTACTGTTTAAAATTGGAAACAACCTAACATATATTAACACACGAAATGAATATATAACGGCACAGTAATATAATAGCATTCAATAATTAAAATAAATTAACTAAACTATATGTATTATTATGGATTAATCTCAAAAACAATGTTAATCAAAAGGCAAGTTCCTGCAGAATAATTCTCTATAAAAGTTAATGGTACTATATTTGGTTTACTAAATACATGGGAATGTGGAAAAAGAACAAAATCATACTTGAAAATAACACTAAATTTAGAATAGTGGTTACTTTGGGGCTAGAAGTGAGAAATACAGACTCAGGGCAATAACAGGTCATTAATGTTTAATTTAAAAATATACAGATCTGAAAGCAAATACAGCAAAGCATTCAGATTCGACAAAGCTGGATGATGAGTGTATGACTGTTCATCACACTATTCTCTCTGGTTTTCTACTGAAGAAAAGATTACTCTGGTGGCAGTGTGGAAAACGAACTGGAGTCAGGAGAAGGCAAAATGAAAACAAAGAGGATAATCAGAAAACTTTTAAAATCCAGTGAGAAATGACAAGCAGTAAAAATGAAGTTAAAAAGGAAGGGGTCAGAAAGGAACAGAACTGAGAGATATTTAGAAAATAAAATCAGCAAGGTTAGGTGACAGATCAGATATAAGAAGTAAGAACAACAACCAGAAGGGCCCACAACTAGAATGTACAAGTATGTACTGGGAGGTTTGGGGAGGAAAGAAAAGAAAAGAAGACTGGCAACAGATGTTAGCTCAGGTGCCAATCTTTAAAAACAAAAAGAAGTAGTAGTAAGAACAAAGTGGAAATTTTGGGTTCAAAGTCATTCTTCCTCAAAATATGAAAATAGGTGGAAAAGGTTTTAGAAGATAGTGAATTTCTTTTTAGAACATGTTGAGTTTGAAGGGCCCATTCAATATCCCAGTGAAAGATCCAACAGGACGCAACATAGCAAAGTGGTTAGCAGCACAGGCTGTTATCAGGTGTCCTGGGTTCAAATCCAGGTTCAACCACTTAAACACATTAATTAACCATGCCAAGCTTCAGTTTTTATATGTGTAAAAAGGGGTAGGGGAGGTTGATAAAAATAACTACTTCCACAGAGTTTTTGTGAGATGAAATTAGATGCCTGCCAAGTGTGCCAACTCTCTGGCACAGAGTAATTGTTCAGTAAATGCCTACAGCTACTATTTATGATACTTCTTTCTCGCTTATAGGACATACTCCTATTCTATACATCATTACTTAGGACTCCTCAATGATTCCACTTTGGTTCCTGAAGCACTTATTTCTAAAAATTATATTATTTTGCATATGCAAGCTTTTATAAAATTTTCAAAATAGTTAATAGTATACCTTATTTAAAATTGCTGAACAATTTCACTAAAGTCAGTATCATTTTCCAACTCAAGAACATACCCTTTATTACCTGAAAGTATTATACATGAGATCTAGACCCAATTCCTATGTAATTCTACCACATTCAAACATTATCTAGTAGAAAGCATACAACCAATATACCAGGCACTTGGAGGTGATAACAATAAAAAAGGCGGAAATAGTCCTAACCCAAATTACAGTCTATATATGTTGTGCTAACAAATAATTACAATGCAATGTTATAAGGCTAAAACTGGGGACACAGGATGCTACAGAACACAGAGCACAGGAACTCCCAGAATTTAAGTTAATAAGGTCATCCTAAAGGATGGAGGGTCTGATGTGAAAAATAAGGAGTTACCAGAGTAGGGCAGGGAGGTGGAAGCTGGATTTAAAACAATGTGTCAAAGGCAGAGGAAACATTTTGTTCAAAGGCCCAGAAGTGACACAGAACACAAACTGTTAACAGGAGTTGAAGAAAGTTTAATACACATAAAGTATACAGTACAAGTATGGAGAAGAACGAAACTGGTGACATACGTAGAAAAGAGATTGGGAGGAACTTTCTAAATCACACTCTATATAACCTAATTAAATAAGATAATGCTTAAGAATGCTTAGTATACTTTCTAGTACAAAACATGTGCACACCAAACATTATTTGCTTATTATCTAACGTTCCCCCTTTTTTCGCCACAATTCGGAATGCAACAATACACTCACCAAAAAATGTTTTCCATCTAGTCTTCCTCAGTTGGTTGCCAGAAAAACAGAACGTGGAGAACTTATAAATGTCTTAGACAATCTGTTATGTCATTTGTAAAATGGAAACAATAATACCAACCTTGCAGGCTTGTTGTAGGACTAGAGTGAGCATCAAGAGCTCCTAGAAGAGTGCCAGGGCACGTATTAAGGACCCCGCAAAATGATTCCTATTAAGGCAGATCAGCAGACATGCCACAGAAAAAGAAAAGCGGAAAGCTCTGGTTTTACTTTGGGGTTAGGCAGTAGGAATGCCTTAGAAATAAAATCACCTTAGAACTAAACTTTCTTTGAAAATAGGGTAAGAAATATACACCAAAAACGGGAGAGTAAAGATATAATAAAAGAATCAACACCAGTCTGATGATGTTTTTTTCTCCTAATATGTAAGCTCCTTCAAAAAAGAAAAACTGATCTCTAGAATTCACTTTTTTCACAATTACCTTATAGTAAAAGATAGATATAGTATATATATATAAAACAAAACTTTTGGAAAAAGATTTCTTAAATCCCACTGCCCTGAAATGACTAGTCTCATTTTACATATTCCCTTCCAAGTACTTTAAACACAGTAATGTGAAGACTTTTCTATTCCATATTTCACTGTTCTAAGACCCAGACCAAATGGATATTAAAATTAGTAATGTTTCAAGAGTATTCACTTTTGTACAAGCAAAATAACAAACTCTCTGAGAACATTTAAAACAAGACAATTAATCGTAATTTGATTTATACTCAACCTTCAAGTAATACAGCTGGGATTTCAAAACAGGCACCCTGTATAAATTTCATATCATGTGATTTTTGTCTGATTCTAATTTGCTTACTGTCAACCTAAGGCATTTATTTCTAGCTACTACTTCTCTTTCTAATGATCTCATTCAATGGCAGCTAAATTCTAAGAAAATTTTATTGATATTAATCCTAAAAGGCAACAAAATATCACAATATATTTGACAAAGAAAGCACCAAGCTACATCACTTTCTTAAAAAGCGAAGAAAATTTTACTTGAAATAAACTAAAGGATGATCTTAACAAAACCAAATTTTTTTTACACTACTATACAACTATTATTAACAGAAAACCATAAATGAACTGAAAGTTAAGGTAAATTTCCCAGAGGAAAAAAAGCTGAGTTCAACATAAGCTTGTTCTAGAATTTTCAGTAAGACATCCTTCAACATTACAAATACAAACTATAAATCCAAAGGAGATAAGAACATCCTTAGGATTTCTTACAGAGAAGGTTTTGGAAAGAGTTATTATTTCAGGAAGAAGAAGAAAAAAACCTTACAGATCTTACTCAGTGTCACAAGTACTACTACATATCTGGTTAGGGTTCACAAATGCCCTCAATAATCCCTCGTTATGCCTTAAAATCAATTCATCTAAATTTGCTGATGCTAAACTTTCAATCATCACAGCACAAGTCTTCTCCACGTTAAGGCGATTTAACTGTGGTCTCTCAAGGACGTGTCTCACTCTCCTAGGCCTCATCATTTATCATGTAAAAATGCTGAGGAACGAACGATAAATATACTGGAAAACACATAAATAAATAACTGTCCAAAATAAACCCAGAACTACTAAAAGAGTAAATCTTACGTTTTAAACCTTGAAATACAATACAGTAAGGCAAAATCCATTCAGGCTTTTGAAAAATCTTAACTATTTAATGACTAGCTACATAAGAAATACTAACTCTGCCAATCAATCTTCAAAGAAAATGGTAAATCTAAGTATAAACCAAGCAAATTAATCTTACATTTCCTTCAATACCAATTAATCAATTGGTTTCAATTGATCAATTAAATTTCTTACATAGAAATTGCCCAAATATGTCCATTCAGCTTAAAGCTGTTATATGTGAACGTCTTTCTTCATCTTCAATAACATGTTTTTTTAATCTCCAGGAAAACCTACCTTTGAGGTTCTTTGAAGTTGATCACCAACATATGTTTTACGAAATTGATCCAAGAACCACAGAATTGCAAGTTCTATTTTCTCATTACAACACTGAGGCAATCCGGTATCCATTAAAGATATAAGCTGAAAAACTCTTTTCATGAAGGAAAAAAAAAAGCTTCAGTAGAGAAACAATGCTAAAATATTTATAGTCAATGTAACACAATATATAAACATTGTAAAAAGTGAAAAAATACAAAAGCTTATCAAGAAAATATTTTAAAAATCATCTGAAATCCTACCACTAAGAGATATTACAATTTGCTCTAATTCTTTCTAAGTCTTTTTTCCTAAGTCATACAGATACATATACAAACCCACATGTGCATACACCGTTCTACTAAAAACTCACATATAAATACATGACATATACATATAAATATATAATAGATATACACAGATATAAGTAAATATTTAGTTATTACAAATATAATATATATACACAGATGTAAGTTAATATCTAATATCTTTCACTAAAATTTTATATATTTACATAAATATCATAGATATATGTAAATATATAAAATTTTAGTAAAGGAAAATGATGTTGAATGTGTAATTTTGTATTTTACTTTTCCATTAAACCTTATATTCTATATAATTATATATTTTGGGGTCACATGATTCAAAATTTAAAAAAATCAAGAGGTACACCCATCAAGTTATATCACTTTCTTAATGAGTAATAAAAATTTTACCTGAAATAAATTACAAGATGACTTTAACAAAATCAAACATTTTAAAGAAAAGTATGCAAATATTATTATCAGAAAATCATAAATGAACTAAAGGTTAAGTTAAATATCCTTGAAAAAGAGCTTAATTGAGGGGCTGGCCCAGTGGCACAGTGGTTAAGTTTGCACACTCCACTTCGGCAGCCTGGGGTTCACAGGTTCAGATCCCTAGCACGGACCTACACACCACTCATCAAGCTATGCTATGGCAGCGTCCCACATACAAAATAGAGGAAGACTGGCACAGATGTTAGCTCAGCAACAATATTCCTCAAGCAAAAAGAAGAAAATTGGCAACGTATGTTAGCTCAGGGCCAACCTTCCTCACCAAAGAGGGGAACAAGAAAAGAAGCTTAATTGAATAAAATGAAAAGCTCAGTCTAGAATTTTCGAAAAAGAAATCCTTCTATTATACATTTTCATTAAAATTTTCCAGTGGATGGCTGCCAAGAGCCTGGTGCTAACAAAACAAACATAATCATCTTTTTAAGAAACAGAAGTGGAGGTTGTTGAGGAAACAGCACCTTTTTCTCCTTTTTCTAACTATACAAAGGCAGCTATGATTAGCCCTGACCCACCTGCTTCCTTCTACGTATGCACACAAGAACATATACACACACACTGTTAATAGCTTATGTGTCCTTCCAGAGAATTTTTTTACATATGTAAACATATGGAGCATACTATATTTTTGGTTCTAAACCTAGCTTTTTCAGTTTAACAATATATCTTACAGATCTTCCCATGTCAGCATAAAGAGCTTCCTCATTCTCTTCTGCAGCTGTTTAACATTCCATTATATGAATGTACCATATTTTCAAACATGCCGTTACTGATGGACCCTAAAGTTGGTTATAATTTTTTGCTGATACAAAAACGCTTTTACCAATCTTGTATACATCATGTCACACACGTATAGTTACAGTACACACTTAAAAGTCAAACTACTAGCTTAACAAATATAAACTTTTATAATTTTGATAACTATTACCAAATTGCCCTCCACAGAAGTTCACAATTTATAGTCCTATCATCAGTCTATGACATTGTCTATATATACATAGATAATTCAGAATGATATTAAACTTCAGAATTTACTGAAATCTGAAAAACGGCATCTCAGTATAGTTTCAATTTATATTTCTCTCATGCATGTGAGGTTAAAATTTTTCCTTGTTTTTAAGCCATATGTATGTCCACTTCTGTGATCTGTTCATATACTTTGCTGATTTTTTCTATCAGGTTGTCTTTTTCTGCTGATTTCTACAAATTCTTTATATACTAGAAAACTGAGCCTTTTGCCTATGATTGAGCTATAAATATTTTTCCTTGTTTTTCATTTCTCTCTTGGCTTTGATTACGGTGTCTTCTTAATGTCATACAGAAGTTTGTGTTGTTTTTCTTATGCAGAAAATTTTATCAGTTTTTTCTTTTACATATTTTGCATAATAACAAGTCTTACCTGAATATAAGGTGTTTTTATGTTTCATATTTTTACATTTACCTCTATGATACATTTGAACTTATTTTGAACATATTTTGTGATATATGGCTCAACACTATTTTTTCCCAGATGGCTAACCAGCTGCTTCAACACCATTTCTTTCTTGTATAATCTACTTTTGCTCACCATTTTGATTTACCCTTATCATATACACTATTTATTTATGCATTCAGATTACTTACTGGATCTTTTATTCTATTCCACTGATCTATCTCACTGAATATATCTTGACCAATTAATTCTTTCATATTATTAAATAATTTTCCAAAATATTATTTATAATGGTTGTATAATACTAAGCCTATGTCAAAATTTAGTCATTTTGTTTTGAATATAAATTCATATTTCAGTGAAATATAACTACTGTTCTCTTCCCTACTACCAAAGATTTCTAGAAATAAAATATTTAGGTTACAGCATATAAATTTCTTTTAAAAACTTGGTACTTATTGCCAAAGTGCTATGAAATTATATTTTGACAATCATTTTATAGTTATTATTTCCCATATTTATACACTAAGCTACTTATTTAAAAGTACCCTTAAATTACAAATATCTTTAATGCCATTAAAATTTATGAAGGAAAACTTACTAAAGATCAAATTCAAGAATTAGATTACTGTAACTAGGTTGTTGGTGTTTTCTTCCTAAGAAGATGTGTTTATTCTCTAATTTTAAGAGGAGGGACAAAGCTGACTTTTAAAGTCTGTGTATTGGTGAATTAGCAGATTGTTGGACTAATTTTTAGTTAAGTAAATAGATACATAAATCAAACTTTATCTCTGGATCCAGGTGATTTTTCAAGCGATTTATATAAGGCATACTTGCTTTTAAATTCTTTATTGAGTAGTATCTCCCTTTTCCTACTCTAGTTCTTTGTTGATTCTATGTACTCGCTCAGGTTTACTTTTATTTCCTTTGTATAGCATACTTCAAAAATCCGAGGAAGACATGAAACCAAAAGACAGTTTGTTGGGGTGCCTTTTCAACCATATTAAGCTGGTGATTTGCATTTGCCTGAGAGGCAATGACATCCCCAGCAGGAGAGTAGGAAAGAGTTCCCAGCAGGGTACATGATCCATTTGTCAAAGAAGTTTTGGTAGTTGTACAAGAAGTTCAGCTGCAAGTGCCTGAAATCCAAAATAAAAATGGCTTAAACAATATAGATGTTTATTTCTCTCTCAAGCAAAAATCCAAGGCAGCGCTCCAGGACTAGTTGGTGCTCCACGGTGTATCAGGCACTCCAGTTCTTTCTATCTTGTTGTTACACTTGCTCTATTCACAGAATCACTTTGTGGTCTAAGATGACTTTGTCAGCCCCACCCATTATGTTCATATATGTTGCACATGCCACATCCACTTACATCCAATTGCCCAAAACATAATCACTTAACCATACCTAGCTGCAAGAGAGTCTAGTAAATCTAGTCTTTATTCAGGTGGCCATATACCCAGCAAAACAATCAGTATTCTATTATTGAGGAAGAAAAGAAGAGATAAGGAACAACTAGTAGTCTCTGCCACAGTGCCCTTCAAAGATCTGTGGCAACCTCTAATAAGTGCTTAAGACCAAAGCTTGTACTTTATACATAATATTTACTTCCAGTTTCAATTTACTGTCCTACATTTACTTTTCCTTTATCTTAAATTATTTTTGGTAAAGAACATCGAGGGAATAAAAAGATAAATATATCATTAAATAATGTTGATCCAAGTATAAGCATACCATTTCACAGACAAAGAAATGAGCTTTAAATAGTCAATTGTTTTATATTCTCCTGGATATCCAATTAAATAAGTATTCATTCAGTCAACAAGTATCTGAGGGCCTACTCTATGGCAGGTGTGTGTTAGGAGTTCAGAATACAACAGTAAGTGAAACATATATATTCCCAATCCTCCATAAATCTATTGTCTATTCAGGGAAAGATAATAAAATGCCAATTAGAATAAAGAATGACAAGTGCTATAATAAACACCACAAAGAAATTAGTGAGGATTCCTAATATTTAAGGATGGAACAGGGCAAAGAGAGAGAATGTTAAGAGAAAGAGGAAAGCATATGTAGTTATCCAGAGAGGGAAGAAAAAGTATGACTCATTTAAGAGCCAAAAAAAATTCAATTATGACTATAAAGCAGTCAATGGCAGGAGATGAGGCTAATGAGACAGGCAGGAGCCAGATCACGAAGGGCCTGATGAGCTATGTTGATTTAAATCCCAACAGCAATGGAAAGACATTGCAGACACTGCAGAGTTTAAGCAAAGCAGTGACATAATCAGCTCCATATTTTAGAAAGCCTGAGAGGAAGCAACGTGTTCGTATAAAACTTTAGCACAAATCCAGCTGAAAAAAATGACAGGAGCTAAAACAGTAGAGGAGATAGAAATAACTGGACTAATTGGGATAACTAGAAGGTAGAATTGACAGGATTTGATGACTAAATGGGTGCTGATAAAAGAAAAAGGAAAAGTTAAAGATAACTTCCAGGATTTAGGCTTAGGCAATTGAGTGCACAGTGATGAGACACATGAAGAGAGTCAGGGCTGGGAGTGGATGAAAGAGATGAGTTTAATTCTATTCACTGAATGTGAGGCACATACGGGTCAGAACCTACAAGTGAAACAGTTTAACAGGTGTCTCAAAATCAGAAGACAAAAGTAATTAAAACAACATAGAATCACTGAGCAGATGGCTAACCAGCTGCTTCAACACCATTTCTTTCTTGAGATAATGGTACCTATCTACAGAGGTGTGCAATTTCTTTTATTGACACTCAAGAAATTAGAGAGAACTCTGAATTCCTTCACAGTTAAAGTTTTGCCAGGCAGGTGAGATAAAAATACAGCAGTGAAC